AGGGGGAGCTGTGTGCTCGCTGGGCATGTATAGCGGGGGGGTGGGATGGACTGTATGCAGTTAGGGGCATTGCACAGCCTAGGGAAGGGGGCTGCGCGGTGGGGAGAACACTGTGTGCCCACAGTGACATTGCCCAGAATGGGGGAGGGACCTGCACAGATTGCCTCCACTGCCGATGGGAGATTGTTGTATAGGGGTTTCTGTGCAGATGAGGGAACTTTGGGGGCTTTGGGTGTAGGTGGCTGGGAGGAGATCGTTGTGTTGGCATGGGGACTGTATAGGAGGGGGCTATAGAAACAAGCTGGGTCCACTGTACCCAGGCAGTGTCCAGGCCAGCCAATATAAACTATTTATTAATACAAATGGCACATGGACCTGATGAATTAAGCAGAATATTGGAGCCTTAAAGTGGAATTATAGTAAAAAAAATCACTCTAAAAATTGTATGTTCTTTCATAGCAGGTTTTTTTCCAGTGTGAATTGATTTATTTGCTTAGAAAATTAAGATGTTACTACTTTTTATTCCTGTTAGTAAAGAATGGCTGTGGAAGAGGGATCTGGATTCTGCTCATTTAGCACATCATCAAGAATATTGCTAACTACCATAGAGGTGCAGAATCATTGGTGATGGGGCTTAAGCCAAAACAAAACCTAGCTTGACTCTCAGATTCCAGGGTAAATTTACAAACTGGGATTAGAAAAAACAACTTTTACTTTCAAATTGAGAAAGTTTTATCTGGGGTCTTTGAATTACAATGCTATTTCAGTGCTATTTTTACAGTCAGTATTCAGAACAACTGGCCTTGATCTTGTGGTCAGCTTGACCAGAGCTGGGTGCTTGACATCTCTCATACTTAAAAAGCTCCTTTTTATTTGAATGAGAAACCAATTATGAAAAACAGTTAAAAGGAAATTACTTTTGAAAGAGTGAAGAAAGGGAAGAATAACAACAACAAAAACACCTGCCTGGATTTTTTCTGCATGGTTCACTTCTGATTTACACACTGTGCAGCATTTTGGGAGTTGCTCCACTTATTTTTAACACAAAATCCGGCATTTTTGGTAAATTTTAATACAACTGGAAAGAACTTAGCTGGCTATTTACAATTGGCAGAGATGCTTTCATAGATCATCCAACCGTTTTTAAAGTAGCCTGGTATCTAGGCATGAAATACAAATTATAGGTAACTGAGAAGTCAAATAAATTCGATTCCAATGCTCAACTATTCATTCATGACCATACATGTTTTAAAGTTGCCTCAACGAAGTGCCAGTAGTTTAGTTGCCCGACAATTCATTTGTATACATTTTGGGTTTAGGAGAGACAAGGCTGGTGAGGCAATATCTTTTATTGGACTAACTTCTGTTGGTGAGAGAGGCAAATTTTTGAGCTTACCCTGAGCTCTTCTTCAGGTTTGGGAAATGTACTCAGAGTGCCACAGCTAAATAGAAGATGGAACAGATGATGAAAATATCATAAATGTTTATATCATTGCTTTCATGGTGCATTTGTCCAGAAATTCTTCTTCAAGATGGCTCATGAAGAGGTTGGTATATTGGGGAACCATCCTAGTACCCATGGCGGTTCCATGAGGTGGCGTATCTCATCAAGTGCACTAAATGCCCCAGTAACAACTGTGTGGGTGAAATGAGACAATCACTATGCTCTCACATGAACTCTCACTGAAAAATGATAAAAAAAATCCTATGACCTGTGCGCGAACCCTTTTCACAAACTGATCACTCTATATCTGACCTCTTAGGGTATGTCTACACAGCAACTAAATACCCGTGGCTGGCCCATACCAGCCAACTCGGGCTCACAGGGCCCAGGCTGTGGGGCTGTTACATTGCTGTGTAGACTTCTGGGCTTGGGCTGGAGCCTGGGCAGTAGAACCCTATGAGGTGGCAGGGTCCCTGAGCCCAAAAATCTACAGACACTGAAACAGTCCCTCAGCCCAAGTCCCGTGAGCCCGAGACAGCTGGCATGGGCCAGCCATGGGTTTTTTATTGCTGTGTAGTCATCATCCTGAAAGGAAACCTGCACAACACCTTCAAAAGACGAGCCTAGATACTAAAAATCATGGACTCAATAGAGACACTGGATTTATGGCTTATTACAACAATCTATAACCCACTAACCTCCCACCACCTCCCCCCCAGCTTTCCCCCTTCTTTTTTTCCCCATGACTGAACAGGTGTTAACTGGCCACTTCACCTTGAATGGTCCCTTGAAATGTGTTTTAACTACTTATGCTAAACAGTCTGTTCTACCTTCTATTTAGCTGTGACACTCTGAAGTACATTTCTAGAGCCCTGCATGGATACAAAAATTTGGATCCACATCCAATCCGCATCCACGATAATTAACTTGTATCTGACCCGTGAGCCATACTCCACCTTTTATATGTATCTGCACCAGCACCCTGTCTCACTTATTCCACTGCAATATCTTCACAAGGCTTTTTCCTCCTCTGCATTTGAATTAGACAGATTCCTTCTCCATGCTGCTTGGGTTCCATGGAGGGCTGGGGCGGGGAGGGGGGAATGATGATCACAGGTGAGACAGGCTCCCTGTTTTCAGCTCCAGGGCTCAGCCCCACCCTGACCTGGAGCAGCAATTACAGGGAAAGTCCAGTTTTGTCTCTGTAGCTCTGGACTGGAGGACACATACTCAGTCACACTATGGGGATGGCACATGCAATCTGGTCACACCTAGGAGCTGTGCGGGGATGGAGCATTGCATTTTCAATCTGGACAGCAGTAGGAGCTGTGAGAAGCATGAGCATCTCCGTGAGGGCAGAATCTTCAGAATTTTATAAGCTAAAATGGAAGACGTCTCTACTGAGCGTATGAGAATTGTGATTGTTCAACATCTTATAACTTGTGATCAAATTTGGACAGATTTTCATAGACATGGCAAAAGGCATATCCCTGATACAAAGGCAACCCCGATGCTAAATTTCAGGTCTGTGCTCAAAAACATGTGGGAGATAGAGCTATTCAAAGAAAAGCTTGCCAGATTTTTTTTAACATGGGAAAAACAGCATATTTTTCCCTAGCCTGGTTCTTGTTCTTGGCTGAAACGTTTTGGCTGAAATTTTCCAGGCTGAGGCAGAGACGAGGCATGTAAATTTCATCCAGAATGGCTAAAGTTTGGCAAAGTAATAATCAGCTGAAAACTGGCTCTTACAGTGGGAAGGATTAGTAACCTTAATAGATGGTGCTAACAGCCCTGCCTATAACAATATCTAGAATGAAGGTCTCACGCAGCACAAATAATGCACTTTTCAAATTATTCTGCAGCTCATTTCCAGAACATATCACAGGGCTCCTGCTTCCATAACTATCTATGTCAAAAGCTTTCTTAACATCAAGAGAAAACAGCTTCCACTCAGTTTTCTTTGATCTAAACTCTAAAGCAACAAATGTTTTGTCAGTGAAGTCAGACAAAGAATTTGTAGTGAAGTGTAGGATCCTGAAGCCAAATTATTTTACATTTTAGTTTTATTTTGATGTAAATATATAATAAACCTGGTGAAGTTACTATAGATTCTGTCATTAGAAGAACAACTGTTTTATCAGATTTGTTTACTGATTTGAGATTGCAAATCCAGGGATCTGACTGTGATCTCACACCAGTGTAAATATTGAGTTACACCGGTATATAATCCATGGCACTGAGATCAAAATCTCCAACATTAGTCTTATGTGGGTTGTTTACAATTTACAGTATAAATCACAAGTAATGGAAGTTTCTAATTCTTCCATGTGTACAATTATTGATAATATTGAAATTCATAACTCATGTCAAGACACTTTCAAAACACATAAGTCGCCTATCTTTCTCACTTAATTCTGAATTGCAAATAGTTTAAGAAAAAATAAATTCACTTTAGCTTTCTAAATATATATTCTGGCTCTGCCACAATTACAGGAGCGAGGCAGAAGGTGCACATGGAAGCATGACATCTGGTTATGACAGCAGCTACGTCACTGACATTAGCTGGAAACTGAGGGTGGGAGTGAATGGATTTCAGATCACTTTCAGGTGTGCTATTTCATCTGATTGATCTGCTGACATCATGGTAGTAGAACACACTGGATAAACTTTGTTGTCTTTATTGATCTCAGGATAATCTCATAATATCTAGGTATTAATACCATGCTCGTCATTTGAGCGCCTAGTCCAGACTAGTGCTTAATGATTAGTTTACATACTACCACAGCAAATTGCTGTTGCAACTGAAGCTTGCCAGGGCATGTAGCATATTGTGTTACAAGACCATCATTAA